TTTTTTTTTTTCTGCTTGAATTGAAAATCAAAATTTGAAATTGTTTTGGCTTGTTTTCTTATTTGAAATAGAAAAAAACTAGATAAAAACATTTTCAAGTTGAATTCCCTTTTGTAATATCAAAGTATTATAAAACAGTGATGCACATATTTGCTCTTTACATAATACATTACGATGGTTCATTATGCTTTTCAATAATCATTTAGTTTAGTTGAAAATTTTCATTAGTGTTGTTGTTGTTGTTGCTGCTCTTAATCCAGCAATACTTTTAGTGCACATATAATGTTTTTATGACAGATAGTACATGATGGATGAAGCCAAAAAAAAAAAGCTTTTTTTTGTTTAATTTATTTAGTTAATGTAATTTTTTATTTTTTATTTTTTAGATAGCGGATGGAGAGGGTTGGAAGAGGAGGGGAAGGGAAGAAGAAAGGAGATATTGGAGTATAAGTGGGAAGCGAATGACGTCATATGTTATAATGACACTAGGTGTTTGTTGGATTTAGACATATGTTTTTGTTTTATCTAAGATTCTTATATCAGTTAATTGTTGTTATATTGTTTTATGAGTGTTAGTGTTTTAAAGTTGTTGACGTTTAAACTTTTCGTTTAGCCAATTTTTAATAATTTTTTAGCATTCTAAAAAAGTATTAACAAATTTTTCCAGAGACAGTTTAGTGATAGGCGATAATGAGAGCAAAAAAAAATTAAAAACTATTGTAAATTAAGAATACACCGGTTGTCTACGTTTTTTGTTTTTTTCTTAATATAGAGGTATTTTTATAAGGTGATGTGTCGAATGAGACGGACAGTTATGGCTGTTTAATGTTGCCGTGGTTGCTATTAATAGTACTGTTGTCGTTATTTTTTTTCGCTACTGTTGCATCTGCTGCGGCTGCGGCTGCTGCAGCAGCAAATTATGATGATGATGATGATGATAATGATGATGATGAAGTTGTTGTTGTCAAAATTGTCAAATTTTTCTGAAGTTCATCATAGGCTATTTTGGAAACTATTTATAAAATAGCTGGAACTGTCACGAGTAATTTGCAGAATAGTGCTGCAGACATTTTTTGATGTACTCAACGACACAAAAAGATACTGCAGAAGACGTACGAGGGGAAAAAAAAAAGTGGGTATAAAAGTGCTGTGGAATTATCTGATATTTTAATTACTAAATGTGTAGTTTTTATTAAGTTTCTCGTTTTTATAGTTTAAAAAATTTTATTATCAGGTTTTCAGTGTTACTCAACTTCAGAATTCCTTTCGTGTATTATTGTATAGAATATTTTGTTGAGCGTAAAAAATTGAGAACACTTCTGTATATTTTATATTATTTAACGCTTTATTTTTACTGCAGTTTTTTCTTACACTGATTTTGATCAAAAAGAAAAAAAAGTGGTCAAAAACAGTGGTTCATTATTTTTATCAGTCAATGACGTATAATTTCAATTTCCATTTGTTATCTGTATTGTCAAAGTTGCCATACGGTCGGAAAAAGTTTTGATTTTACCCCTTTTTTCTGGGTTTTTTTTTTTGAAATTTTTTATTTTCAGGTTATTTGTTAATACTTTTTAGTTTGAAAAAAAAAAGATGAAAATGTAAATATATGGGCAGTTTTTGTTTTTTTAGTGTCTTCTGTTTTGAATTTGTAACTATGGTATAGTGAAACTTTGACTTTTATCAGGTGATAGACCCAAATGGGTTTTGTTTTTTAACTGCTTTTTTTAAAAACATTTTTTAGTTGTTGGAATGCAGAAACCTTATTGATAGAACTTTACAAATACGTGGTTTCCTCTTCTTGCTAACTGTTATTATTATCTAAATGCAAAAAAACCGTCTATTTTAAGACTTCTTATCTAAGTTTTTTTTTTTGGCCAAGTAGTTGAAAAGCATAAAGCTGAAAGTGAGAAATTGAAAAGGACAAGAAAACAGGAGAAAAAAGAAGAGAAAGAAACGGTTAATTTATTACTTCGTCTACCATTGTACGAACACTTTATTTATTTATACAGTTCCATTTTTCTGTCTTTTTTTTTTCACTGTTTTTTATATTTATTGTTTTTTAATACAGAAAAGAAGAAGCAGCACAAAAAAAAGATGAATTACAATGACACCTTAAAAAAAAATTTATAATTTCTTAATTCTAACCTTTCTTTTTTTTTTTACTAATTGATTGATTTATTCAGTAATATGAAAGAAAAGTTCTGGTTGAAAAAATCTTCATAGGATTAAAGACAATGATCTTATTAGTGC